ATAAGAAATCTCAATCTTGGATAATTCTAGTGTAGAATGCAATACACCTTTATTTAATTTCCCTTGTAGCAAATCTAATCACTATATGGTGCCCTATATGTCATAGTATTTATTCTCTATAATACCTGCTGAAGTGCAGCTAGCTTCTATATTTAGGCTATATTGAATTTAGTTTTAGATATTATATTTATTATTATCATATGCTACCATAAATAGCAGCAATAATTATAAGTTTTATTAAAATAAGTGTTTGAAAATATTGTTTCATAAAAGTGATTTCCAAACTGTCTTTTCTGTACCTTTATGTGAACAAATTAATTGTATACCATTGCCAGGTGAAGTTTGGAATAATTGGTCTCTCTGGTGAGATGTAGACATTTTGGTTTCTTGTTTTCATTTTCAGGGATAAAATAAAGTGTTATTTGTACTTATAAAAAATATGGGTAATCAATTATCAAAACTCATCTCTCACTGCTTCTTTCGTGCAGTCTTGCTGTTACCCCTGCTCTTCAGGCTGTTTATATGTTTTCTGCATGCATGGTGGAAATGCTGTGTTGTGGGTGACTGCATGCCTTCCCAGCCCTGGGTTCAGGAACATCACACTGAGGGCTTTGACTTGACCATGTTGGAAACAGTTATACCCAGGCAATGACAGAGGCTGGAAGCCAGGGCTTTGATTTTCCTTATTAGGCTGTTGTTAGACATAGAATAATGTGCTTATGATCAAGACTGCTACAAGTTCTAGCCCATTAACTAAAAAAAGAAAGGAGAGAAGGAAGGAAGAGGAGAGAGGAGAGCTTCTCCCAGTGTGCTTACCTGAACGTGTTGCTTTTCTCTGCAGACAACATGATGCTCTGTTGGCCTCTGCCTTGCCTGGGGTCCTTCAGTGGCTCATTAGACCTGTCCAGTAGCCATGGCCTTGGGTTTGCAAGTGTAAATCTGAGAGATGGTGAGTCAGCTGCTGTCTCTGCTCCTTCCTCAGAAAGAGCTTGCATCTTTAGTTATTTTTCATTACTATAGTCAAAAATTAATTATTTGCATTTTAATGAATTTGAAGAAATTGGATTTTTATGTTATTTTCTGTTTGCTTTCTTTTTATTATAAATTTATTTTTATTTATTTTATTTTTAGATAGATTTCTTCCTTATTGGTTGCCAGTAAATGCTCATAAAAAATTAAGTCAGAGGGAATTATTAGGGGCTCCACATTTTTTCCAATTATATCATCTAGAAGAGGCCACAGAAATGTTACTAGTCAAGTAAGCTTATCATGAAAAACTCAAATATATAAGTACTTAAATGAGCCAATGTCAGTGCCACTGGGGTTAGTCAACAGGTCACCACACAATGTCTGTGTGACTGGAAGAGTCCATGGCTGCTGATGGGATTTGACCACCATCCCAGGACATCACATGGGAGGAGGCCAGGGGAAGGCTGTGCTGACAGTAGGAATTCTTTCCCTAGGTAGTGTAAAGGAAGCTGCGGGCTTGCTTTGTGGAGATGTTCCTTTTCATCACAACACTCCAGTGTCATTGAGTAAATTACCTTTTCTGTTGGATAAGTAGTAGTTCAGAGGATTACATCAGTGAATACAATTAAAAATGAAGTGCTCTACAACCTTCTAAAGAGGTAGACTAATTTTTCTGTGAAAAGTGAGCTAATTCATTCAGGCAATAGAGCTTAAAACTATCTGTCTCCTCTAAGTGAGTGTTTGTAAATATTGTAAATGATAGAGTTCAAAAATGGCCAGTCAACTCTCTTTGTTTTGTCTTCTTCAACACATCTGGAGATAAGTAAATATTGGTGATGTAGCCTTGGAGTTGAGTATTTTCTCCCTTTATGTAGTATTCCAAAGATGTGGGCTCAAGTATGGCTTGGGTTTAATTTTATCCCTTATAAATCAAGCATGGTACTTAGTAAGTGGTCAAATAGATTGGCAGGAAAGGGTTGACACAAGGGATTAGAGAACATGCCCTTCATTATCCACTCTCATCAGTTTTTGCCATAAAGTAACATTTTTGGCTTGAGGTTTATGTTTAAAGTATTGTTTAATCATTTCTAACATGCCAATAAAGATACATTCTCACTGAAGCCAGATTTTAGCTAACTGTACATTATCAAATTGCTATTTTTGGTCTGGTGATTACTTCAGTATTATAACAAGGAGCATGAATATCAGGTAGGTTCTTTATCTTGCCAAGTTGAAGAATGAAATCCATGAACACAAGGGTGAGAGAAAAGTAACAGGATTTATTAGACTAACATAAATAAAGCAGAACTCCCAAAGATGAAGAGGTGTCTGTTGTCTAGGTGTTTTCGTGGGCTTGATCTGTCCCTGTAGTTGATTGGAGGAATTATAGAGTTCAGAAATGGCCAGTCAACTTTCTTTGTTTTGTCTTATTCTTCACATCTGGAGATAAGTGATTTCTAACCCTTTGTTAGCACAAGGGTGGGGGTGAGGGTCTTTTTGGACAACACAAGTACCTTTTATGATTGGTCATGTCTAGGGGCTGTTATGAAACTGTCCTTGTGGCTCTGAGTAGCTGGGGTCAGAACTTTGATTTCCCAGTCTCTTTTACTCTTTTCCTTCCCTCAAGACCCTTTACCTGGCTGTTCATGGGTGATCTTTTTTCATACCAACTTAACATCTAAACTTCCCAGTAGTTGTAAAGATTATAATAACAAAGTAAACACTTTAATAATTTTAAATAAGCCCCAGGGCCTTGCATGTTATGTTTCTGATATGCAGAGACAGAAACCCATTATGATTTAGGCTCCCCTGCAGTGAGTACTGTGAAGGTTGTAAAAAAATCTCCTAGTTTAGGATCCACTTATTTCCATTGTATTCAATTTTTAAAAGTTATCAGCTCAGAATATGATAAGCAGTCATTATGAAATGGTAGTACAAAATTTAACTTGTGTATTCAGACTACTTTCTTTGCATATTTAAATTAGTTGTTTTGTAAGACAGTAGCAATTAGCTGATGAGGTTTAATGTTTAGTATTGCTACTCTGATTGCATGTAATGTGTGCTTCAATAAATATTCCTGGTATTGCTACCAGACTTTATGCTCATTCCTGAAGTGTGATTTACAAAGCTCAATATATCAACATTTCTTCTGAAGGATTATCTATGTGTTTTATTTATATAATTTTGTGTTTTTACTCATTTATTTATTTATATTGCATTCTATTGATTTATGAAAAGTGATAAAATATTTCTTAGCAACACATTTGTGACAAAAGAGGAAAGGGGTCTTATGAAGGGTACTAAGAGGGCTGAGTAGAGAATTTTGGAAAGTTCAGGTGTCTCCAGGTACCAAGGGCAGATAGGCAGCTCCCAAAGGGCTGAGCATCATGGCCAGTGATTTTGTGGCCACACTTGAGCCAGTGTATTTTACAAGTTCCCTAATGGAAGAGCTGGTTATTATAGAGACAGTAATGGATTAATATTACCATTCAATATAGAATTAAATGCTCTTTTGGTTTATGCAAGCATTTGGGGAAGCAGAAAAGAAAAAAAAAACCTTAATGTGATTCTTCTGACACAATATGCCTTATCTTTTTATGCCAAGAAACATACATTTTAAAATGTTACCATCTCAAAATGGTTGAACTAGGGCTGGGGGTATAGCTCAGTGGTAAAATGCTTGCCTAGCATGTCTGAGATCCTGGGTTCAATCCCCAGCACCACACACACACACACACACACACACACACACACACAATGGTAAACTAAAAAATTTTTAAACTGTTAGATTTTAAGAAGTAAAACTTACAACTACCTAATAAAATTGATGTCATTAGATATAAATGTAACTTTCTAAAAAAAAAATTGATTTTGACTGTTCACTTTGCTTCCATCAAAATTAAATTGATATTTCCTAAAATTAAAAAAAAATATTTAATATGGCTCATACAAAAGAAGATTGCTGAAATTTATGCATTCTAAACAAGAACATGCTATAATATTTAGTTTTTCCTTCATAACCTCCTTAAGCCAGGCATGGTGGCACCTGCCTCTGATCCCACCAGCTCTGGAAGCTGATGTAGAAAGAATGAGAGTTCAGTCAACCTCATCAGCTTAGTGAGGCCTTAAGTAACTTAGTAAGTCCCTGTTTAAAAAAAATTAAAAAGGGATTGAGAATATGGCTGAGAATTTAAGGGCTTCTGAGTTCATTCCCCAGTACAAACAAACAAACAATAAGAAAAACAAACCCAAAACCTCCTTAAGAAAACTTGTATTCAAAATTTATACAGACAAAAGTAAAAAATCAAGTGCCCAGAAAAATATCTCCAAAAGTAGCCATTTGAGACTTTCATTCCACATTTTGCTTGTGCAGGGAGTTCCTTTTTCTGTGGTTATTGTTGCTCTAGGGATCCTGGATCCAGCTGGTTCAGAGCATTCCAGATGCTTCGACCTTCAAACCTTCAGTGCCATTTTCTTATCCCATCAGTCATGGTGCCTGAGAGTTCAGGTTGGTGAAGAGAGCCATAGTTTTGGCAGAGGTGGTTGAAATCAATTAGAAGAATTATATTGAGGGTTTTTTTTTTACTGTTCTGTACCACCAAATGCTTGCATAAATGCTTTGTTACAGGCATGGACTGCTCTGTTCTTAACTCAGATGGTGAAATCATGGTCTCTAAAGCCAAAAGTGCTCACCTTCAGGGGAGACCTCCCTGGAGACAGTGGAAATTGTCAACTACTTTGATTGGAACTCTATAAAGTAGCATTTAAAATACAGTATCATCATGGCTGGGTGTGACAGTACATGCCTGTAATCCCAGTGGCTTGGGAGGCTGAAGCAGGAGGATCTCAAGTTCAAAGCAGCCTCAGCAAAAGCAAGGTGCTAAGCAACTCACTGAGATGCTATTTCCAAATAAAGTACAAAATAGGGCTGGGGATGTGTCTCAGTGGTTGAGTGCACCTAAATTCAATTCCCAGTTAAAAAAAAAAAACATTATTTATGACACAACATAAAGTAGATGGAGACAAATGGAACTGATTGAATTGTTTATTTTTTTTCTCTGTAATTCTCAGCCTTTTCAGCACCGAGCAATCGAGCATATTTCCTCAGATCATGAAGACTGTCCTCATCTGTTGTTGGAACCAGGAAATAATTTGCCTAATACTTTTAATACTGTAATTATTTTAGCATTAAGATACTTGTCTCTCATTCTCATATAGTTATTAGTATAAATTTATATTATAGGCATCAGCAAGATAAATACATAAAAGTGATTAGATTGGGAGAAATGTTTAGATTTGTCCTTAAGGTATCACATGGCTTCTTACAACATGGGACTCTGATTATGTGAACTCTGAAATTTCCCAAATAGTATATTATATAAAATTCACTGAATTCAAGAAATGTTTTTTAAAAACTTGAAATAAATAATTTAAAATATCTAAACTCCTGCTATAAATCAGCAGTATCATCATAGATGTTCAATGCAAATCTTTCCCTTACATTTTTTTTCCCACAGAATCTAGGTTTTTGTTTTTTGGTTTTTTGGTTTGTTTATTTTATTTTATTTATTTATTTTTTTTTTTGTAATTCCATTGTTAGGCATAGGCAGGAGTCTGGTGGAATTGGCCTGTGTTCCATCCAATGGGTCAATTCAAATCACGGTAAAGGGACTTGCAAACCAGATTTGTATAAAGGCAAATAAAATACAGGGAAATTTTTGTTTTTGTAAATGTTTGATATATACAAACATTTATTTGTTCTTCCTAAAAATTTTAGACCTATGAGGGCCAAGTAATGTTCTATTTGAAGCTACCATTTTTTTTCCTGAAAAAAATTTTTTTAAACCCTTCAGATGCACTACATGTGTGAAGTGCTGTGGACAGGCTAAAGGTTAAAAGCGTGTATGTTAAATATGTCCATGTGCTGGTGCACAGAGGCCTCTCTTGGAAGCCATGTAACTTTATTTAGTCAGTTTTTATGAAAAGCGATAGAGTAGCACCTGGGGGTAAAGCTCTGAAACAACAAAGTTTGGACAGAATGTCCTGGAGATACAGCATGGAAGGGAAATGCTCTTGTTCTTTCCTGCTCCCTCACTAGCTTCAGAGCCTCCATATTCTCCATTAAGCCAAAGTTAACAGATGAGACAAACATAAATAACCATCCATATTTGTTTTTAGTGTTGTCAGCAACCTTCAGGGAAGCAGTGTTGGGTGTGATGTTTGTCTAACAACTATGCCAAATTATAGAATCACTCCCAGAATCCAGGCTCTGCTGGACTCAGTTGCCTCTTCTGGAGGGTTGAATGCTCAGATTTCTTAGTGCTTTTCCTTCTTCTTTGCAAGATGGTTTTTGGATGCACGAGACAGTCTCCTGACTTCGTGGAACTACAAGATAGGAGGAGACATCCTGGTGTGTCAGCCCCTCATGTTTGTCCTTGGTTCTTGCTGTGTGCTGAGGGAGTTTGATTGGCCTTAACCTGGAAGGCAGAGAATCCACATGTGTCTCTTCTCTCCCAAGGTTCTCACAGACATTAACAAAGTACATATATCATACTATCCTTACAGAAAATGTTTTTCATAACATCCTCTGGAGAAACAGCTACAAAACAAAGCCTGGGTCAGTGGCCAGGGCAGAAGTGGAATGTGAAGAAAGTGGAAGGAGAGGACAAGGTGGAACCAGGGCTGCTGGGTGCAGGCTGTGGGGGCTTCCAAGGAGAGGGTGTCTGTGCTGAGCCAGGAAGGACTAGTAGCTGTTTTTCAGATGTAAAAGAGGAAAGGGTTACAGAGACAATACACTATACAAATAAAAAGGTTGGAGGCTGGTTGGAGGAGCTACAAATAATTTTTATAACAAGAAACTTTCACTGATTTCATAACAGAAAACTGCTTTATGAACTAAAATGATTCAAGACGAGTTGAACATTTTGTATAGGTATAGGATTCAATTTATATCAAGTAGTTCTCCCTTATCCTTGGTTTTGCTTTCTGTGGTTACAAGTACCCAGTCAACTATAGTCCAAATATAGTATATGGAAAATTCCAGAAATAAACAATTCATATAGTTTGCATAACTCTTATTACTGTGTGCTATTATAATTGTTCTATTTTATTAGCATTGTTTCTCTCTGACTGTGTCTCATTTACAAATTAAACTTTACCCAGGAAAAGTTTGCTGTGTCCCACACAGCAAGGGATCAGTAAACCAAATGGAGGTGTGAACTGGTTGAGAAAATTAAAGGTCTAAAGAAATGTTTAGAAATAAAAACAAAAACATGAAAATAGTTTAACAGTGGGAGCATGGTAGGTGGATCAGATCTTAAGAGTCTGATCTCTTAACAAAGAAGAAAAGCCCAACACCTTTTATTTATAGGAAAGCACATCACAGAGATTTATTGTAAGAGAAAAACTTCTTCAAGATAAACAAAGGGCAAAGTAGAGCACCAGGAATAGGTTAATTGAGGCTCATCTACTAATAGGTTAATTGAGGCAATATCTTCTTCTAGCTCTGGACACCTAGGTGTGTATGTGGAGGAACAAACACAGTATATGTGGAAGATAGTATTACCTGCAGTTTCAGACATCTACAAATGGTCTTGAAGTACATCCTTGCAGATGGGGAGGGGGACCACTGTATTCCTCCTAAAACAAAGCTGGCATCTTTATATAAGTGCACATGGGAGAAGTAACCTGAAATATAATGAGAAGAAGGAAAATAAATCAAGAGCAAACCTTTGTTTATCAGGAAACTGACCCCCAGGGAGCAGAAGAGAAAGGAGTGAAGCCAGGGCTTGCATGGGTCTTTTCCTCTCTGCAGTGAAGGGACAAACACAAACCTTGCTTCACAGGATGACCTAGGCCAACCAAGCTACTCTGCTATAAAGTCAGCAACTTGGTCATTGTGCTGAATAAGGACAGATACAGAGCTGGGATCAAAGCCTCACACTTAAACCCTGAAATTATTGTGGGCAGTGCAGTGGGCAGGAAGCCCTGCTGCATTTCTGGGCAGCCATTTGATGGGAGCCCACCTTCCTGCTCTGGCCAAGGATCTGCTAGGGGCATCTATTGAGTTAATGATGGTCTCACCAGCTCCAGGCTCAGAGCATACAACTGCACCAGCCTGCAGATCTGGGAGCCAGGTCATGGTCATGGAGGTGCCTTGACCAAAAGCACCACTGTATCCCACCTGCTGGATGCTTCTCTGTTATCTCAGCCACCCTGAAATTTGAGTACTGAAACATATGACTTATGATGCAGAATGAGAATCTGTCAATAATTGAGCAGCAGTCTACACTTCTCTGATGACTGGAAGCACCTTAGAAGTAATCTCTTCCCACTCCAGGATGAAGAGGAGAGGACTCCTGATACACACTCTTGCCTCAAATACCCACATTCTAAGACCCAGAGAGATGGAATCCTTCATTCCCTAGCTGGAGTAGGAGATTCCAGAGGAAGGACTGGCCATCCCAAGTCTGTCCCCCGGGGAAGGTGTCACCTTAGTCCCACCCTTTTTTCCCCCTTCACACATCTAGAGGGAACTGCATGGTGACCTCTAAGAACAAGTGAGGCTGGGCATGGTGACTGGAGATTTTCTTCTTATGAAACTCCCTGCCATTCCCTGATGGGGATGGGCAAAAAAGTATATAGGCTGCTCTTAGAACAGGGATCAGGTTTCTAGAAATTGGTGCTATTGTAGTTTGTTAGGGCTGCCTGTAACAAAGCACCAGAGATTGAGTGACTCAAACAGCAGAAGTTTATTGCCTCACAACTCTAGATGTTGCAAATCTGAGATCCAGGTGTCAGCAGCATGGTTTTTCTTGAGGCCTCTCTCCATGGCTTGTAGATGCTGTCTTCTTCCTAGGTGCTCACATGGTGGTCTCTCTGTGAGTGTCTGTGTCCTAATCTCCTCTTCTTAATGTGATACCAGCCAGACTGGATTAGGGACCACTGAAAGAGCTTCAGCTTCCCTCTTTAAAGGTTCTGTCTCCATATATCATTGCATTCTGAGGTCCTGGAGGCTAGGACTTCAACATATGAATTTGAGGAGAGGCACATCAGGTGGGCCAGCTGTGGCAATCCTTTAGTTATTGTGCCCATGGACAGAATCATGGTTTAGAGATATTAATGGCCATAATTTCAAATCATACGTTTCTTTTCCATTCATCAAAAATAAACGTTATTCATAACTTATCAGTTATTCTGGTGGGTCCAACGTCATTACAAGGGTCTTAAAATGAAGAAGAGATGGGATGTTGGGTCCCTGAGGAACTCATTCCCTGAGAGCTTCACCAAGGGGCAGCTTCAGCCAGGCTGTGTGCCTGAGGAGGCATGGACACCAGGGATTGCCAGGGACTTGTGAACTTGTGAGGCCTGACACTTGTGAAAGTCTGTGGCCCTGTCCCTCTCTGGGAAGTAACTGCTTGTGTCTTGCAGGGGTGCGAATTCCTGGTGGCAGAGTACAGGTAGTTTCTTGAGCTTACATCTTTTGTCTCCATGAAGGTTCAGAGAGTTTTCCAATCTTGTCAGAGAATGTTTTTCAAATATCTAAATGTGTGGGTTTTTTTTTATAGTACAATCATGCTATGAAGCTATATCCCAAAATGTGGAGTCCCATCCCTGTATTTTCTCTTTGGCTCTGTAGAAGGTGTGAGTGCACACAGTTGGTGAGGGTCACTACTCTGTCGTTATTTGTTTCTTGCACTGATAAATCTTCCAGAGATTTATCAGTATATTGATATTTTTAAAGAACTACCTTTTGGTGTCATTGATCTTTCTTTGCTGTTTTTAATTTTATTGCTGTGTTATTATCTTTAATGTTTCTTTCTTCCTACTTGCTTTGGGTTTAATTTTTGGTCTTTGATGTCTAATTTCTCAGAGCAAAGAGTTAATTGAGTTATGTTTTTGAGATTTTATTAATTAATTGAGTTATCTTTTTCATAATGTGGGCATTTCAGTACTATACATTTCCTTCTAATCACTGCCTTTATCTGTAACTCAGAGTTTGATATTTTGTTTAGTTGAAAATATTTTCTAAATTTCCATGAGAATTCCATGGGCCATTTAGAATTGGGCTGGTCAATATGTGTCTAAAGAATTCATTGTTATCTTTCTCTTAGTGATTTCTACATTAATATCAAACCATATAAAGTGTTTTATGTGACTTTCATTTATTTAAACCTACTAAGATTTGATCTGAAATGCAAGATGTGATCTGTTCTGGTTCACTTGGCAAGGACATGTACCCTGTGCATTGAGTGGAGGGTCTATGAAAGTCCAGTCTGTGCACTTGGCTCCTGGTATTGTTCTTGTCACTACCCTTGATGATTTTCTATCAGTTTGATTGATGACTTGGAGAACAGGATCAAAATCTTCATTTTCTCTTATGAATTTGTCACATTCTTCTTCAAGTTCTTTCAATTTTCTCTTCCTGATTTTCAAGCTCTGACATTGCACATTTAGAATTATTGTGTCTTCTCATAAAATGACTCTTACCTCATCATGGAATGCCCCTCATTCTCCCTGGTGGTGTTCTTTGTTCTGATGTCTATGTGTGTACCATTCATATAGATGGTTCAGTTTTCTTTTCATTAGTGTTTGCATGGTATGTTTTCTTCCAGCTTCTTCTAGAGCATTTAAAATTGTTATTCTTAAAAGTAATTCTGACATTCTTTGTACATGGATATTCTCTATATGTAGAGTTAGGTTCTCACTGTTACTATAGTAAAGCAATAATATATAGTTCTGTGGTTTTTTTAAAGTATTTATTGAGTTGTAGATGAGCACATATAGTAGCTTTGTTTTTTTATGTGGTGCTGAGGATTGAACCCAGTGTCTCACACTTGCGAGGCAAGCGCTTTACCACTGAACTACAGCCCCAGTCCCATTTTTGTGGGTTTTTTATTGTGTATATTTTATTTTTGCTTAGGCAGGTTTTGTTGTTTTTTAAATTTTTTATTTGTGTTTTTCTTTGGCCAACAATTCTAATTCTAGGAACTTCATTTTTTTATGTGTTATAATTAAACATAATAGTGGATTTCATTGCTATGTATCTGTTTGATCAATTTTATTTCCCAGCATCTCCCCTTTCCATCCCTTCCTCCTGATCCCTTTCCTCTACTGTACTGGTCTCCCTTCTATTATCTTTAAAAGCAATCTGCCAGTCTGTGTTTTGACTAATGTGCTTAGACATTTGCATTTAATAAAATCATTGATCTATTTGGATTTAGCTACTTATTATTTGTTTCCCATTTGTGCCATATGTTTCTGGTTTCTCTATTTCCCTTTTCTAACTTCATTTGTGTAATGTGAATAGGTTTGGCTGTCGCACTGTTTTTTGTTTTGTTTTAGTTTAATCATTTTTATTTCAAGTATACTTTTAAAATCATAAATGGAGTTTTATAATCTAAAGCTGAAACATTTATTTTCATTACTTTAGAATCTCACAAGCAATTCCAGACCATTCTTTGTAAATTCAGTCTTTTTTGCTGTTTTTAAGACTTCTGAGACTAAGATATTACACTCACTACTCCATTCTAAATGTACAATTTTAGATAACTACTGTACACTTGTTGGTAAGAGAGTTTTTTGAAAACAGTTCATCAAATATAAAGAATGGTTTCCATCCAAGGATCAGCAATGAGGGGAAAATATTAAACACCTTTCAAGAAAACATTTATTCGTTAAAAAAAAAAAACAGAACAGAAACAATGAGTTCTTTGTCATAAAACATAACATATAATATTAATCTAAATTTTTTTGTAGCCTTTGGTAATATCAACCCCACCCCAAGGCCTCAATCTTATGTACTTATTTTTTTAATGCAAAGTCACCACTGGAATTTCCTGGAAAAGAAAAAAATTCCCAGTTGTTATTTCAAAGATGAATAGGTTATTTCTAAGGAAAAGAGCTGCCCTGGTAATTTCTCTCAAATGCTCATTTTATTTTTTTTTCAAATGTTCGTTTTAAATGAAAATAGTTAATGGAAATATTTTTTAAAACCAACTTTGGGTACTATGCAGCATACTACTCATTACACAAAATAGGAAATCAAAACTTTTCTAGGAAAATTTCTACCTTTACTTTTAAGATTACAACTTACTCAACTTTTTTCCCTTTGATACATACACATGTGCACATGTGCACAGGAGCACACCCTCCCCCATACACTCACTCCCAAGTAAGACAATTTTTTGTATTTACTTATAAATTATGAGAAATATGAACTAGGTGTGCACAGGGTTTCATAGGTGTGACTGCAAGATGAGAGACACAGACTGTCAAACCAATAATTATTGCTGAAGAACTGGAGAAATGACAAATCTTTGGCCCAGCTGAATGAAGGCTGTATTCTTTCTCACATCACTTAAAGGAGGGACTGGAATGGATTACTTACACTGTGACTCAGCAAGACATCTACTCTGGTGCCCAGGTCACAAAAAGACATAAAAGTTGCATGTGCAGCAGCACTATTTCAACTAGCAAAAAAACTCAGATGCAAATTGAACTTGACTAAATTACATGTTGGTATATCCATTTAGTGGAATACTCAATGGAAGTTAAAAATAATAAGCCACATTGTCTCAACAAGGGCAAATGTAACCCATAATTTTATTGACTAGAATGAGCAACTTGCAGAAGCATACACACACTGCACCTGCAACATCCTTTAAGAAAAAGAGGATGGTAAACAC